ACCGCCCCCCGTGCCACCGCCACCGCAGCACGCCGCCAGCGTCACCTCCTCCTCCTCCACCACTGTCCCCATGCCACTGGCCTCCCAGAAGAGAAAGCGAGAGGAGGAGAAGGATTCCTCAGCTTCCAAGTCCAAGAAGAAGAAAATGATTTCCACTACCTCAAAGGAAACAAAGAAGGACACAAAGCTTTACTGCATCTGTAAAACGCCTTACGACGAGTCGAAGTGAGTAGCGACTGCCGTGGCCTCCTACTGGGTGTTCTTAGCTTTAGGTTGGGATCTAGCTGTTAGCACAAGCTAGTTCTAGAACTGGAGGTTGAGTATCAGGTGTTATTGCAGTGAACATTAGGGTATAAAGTCTGTTTTCCACTAGCAGTTACAAAACTATTAAACATACTTGATTTATACTGTTGCTGTACGTGGTTTATATTTCCCCTGTTTGCATGTTTCCATTGTGTGACCTTTCTGTCTCACATGCACATACTCCTTTCTTTTCTTCCTCCGCTCCGTTGTTCTTTCTTTTGCCGTTTTGCCTCTGCCTCAGAAGCAAGTGACAATTTGGTTTGAGCAATTTCTTGTCAACGAGTGGTTGCTGTTCTTTAGGAATAGCTTTGGTACCGTCTTCCAAGAAAGGACTTTTTTTTGCAAGTCAATAGCCGATAAAGGGGGTTCCAAGTTACTGGACTGCAGTTCACTTTGGACAATGTTTCAGGTAGAAATGATTCCCATGTGTTAGGATTTACATCCCAGGGTTGGTAAAAGATGAATATGTAAGCATTTGACAAAGTGAAAACTGCAGCCCTCTGTAGTTTGATTCTGACTGTGAATGAGGAAAAATATTTGTGCTATCTACAGAGTTCGTAAAGAAATGTAGTCAAGTGGTGGAGTGGAAGATTCAGTGGATTGCAGGGGATAGTGTTCTGCATTCCTGCTTTAGCTAGCAGTGACACCTCGAGAGTTAGTGGTGGTTAACATCTGATAGCTATGTAGAGATGCACATAAAACAAATTTGACTTCAGACCAATTCCAAGTGAGTATGTGACTTCTCAACAAGTGACAATACCAAAAAGTATGAACTGGTACCATTTGGTGGTGGTTTAAATGCTGGTAACAGAAAGAAGGCATAGAGGTGGGGTAGTGTTTTCACTCTGGTAATGATCCTTCATTCCAAATTTAGGGCCAGGACTAGAGGAACGGTTGAGGTTCCTCCTAGCCATTCTGGATTTTTTTTTTTTTTTAATGAAGTTGAGATCTTTGGGTTTTTTTCACCATGGTTGTTCAGTAGCTCTGCCCATTACATCTGTGTGGGATGCTGGACTGCTGTCTGTGCTGCCATTGCTGTAGAAGAGCAGACTTCTGATGCCCTGGGTGTTCATTCACTGTTGCTTCTATGGGATGTCACCAGGCTCACTTGAAGAAAGAACATTGCATTAGGCTTTCTGTCATCCAGTTAACGTAGGAGGAGACCCTGCTCTCCTTTTGTTCTGATACAAAAGGTCTGTGTATTATCGCTCCTCTTGCTAATAAGTGATAGAACTATCACAGGTATAAGATGAGAGGAGCAAATTCTGTGAGCAAAAGGATTTGGTTATCAGACTGACTCTTTCTGTTGACTGTAGTGGGCACTGGAGTAAGCTGATGAAAAACGTGGTCACAGAGTGAATTTTGATAGCCTGAATCAAAAGCTGTGCTTAAATGTCCAGAATCAACCTTCAAAAAGATGAAATGTTAATAACCTAGCATTATCCTTAGCAATACCATTCAGTTCTGCTGCTCTGCTTTTTGTGGGTTCTCCATTTTATATTGTTAGAAATGATGACTGTACTATTAAACTACATTATCCTTTCACTATTCAGGAAGAGATTAGTCAACTTTTAAACTCTTTTCTGGTAAACTTTTTTTTAGTTTTCATAAATAGGCATCAGATGCTCCTCTTTGTGCTGGTGTCTCTTTTCTACTTCAGAAAATATGGATGTGCTGCTTGAAAAGCTAATTTGTGGTAGATTATTAATGCCCCATGCTTTTTTCAGGCTGTAGTAGATCCTCAAGAGTGTTGAGTATTTTATTGCAAATCTTTTAATTCTCACTTGTGATACTCCAGGGTTGTAGGCTTTTGCTCAGACTGTTTTTGAGGATGGTCAGCAAGGGTATCTTTCTAAGGTTCCTACTTAGGCTCCAACTCATTTTTTAAAGCACAATTTGACACCTACTCCACGTTCTAGTGGTGAGGTTTAGTATCCACACCTAGAAAAGAACGTGGCTCCCCATCACCAGGTGCAAAAGGCACGGTCCCACTTGGGAAGAGGACACAGTGGATCAGTGGTGGTGGCTGTCAGAACAACCTTTATCTGTCCATTCCTTAGGGAAGATTGGGTTTTGTGATTTATCTTCTTTTTTTTTAGGATTTGTCTGACTGAAAATTGAGAGACAAAAGGCAGGAGCTGAGTATCTGTGACATATGCAGAGGCCCAGAAAGCTTAGAGATGCTTGATTTGTGGAGTGTGCTGGCTGCTGTCCTGTTGTATGTAGTGTCCAGTGGGGTGGTGCTTTCAGCCTGACAGATAAGGGTGGCAGGAATGAATACAGCAGCACGTGGCAGGTGGTTGGTGGTTTCCAAAATCTAGAAAGGTCAAGGTTCTGAGTCAGCTTGCTTTTGCTTAGGCAGAGAATGGATGTGTAACTTTGCCCATCTGGTTGGTTGTCACAAGCCATAGGTATGTTTTGAGAGATCCATACACAAAATGTCAAACATCCTTGCATAATATTTTACAGTTTTGTCACATCATTCTGTGCAAGGTGCCATCCACATGATTCTGTCCCTGGTTCCCTTCACTTCGTGTCATACCATATCTGGTTCCGTCACATAGCTGTGTCAGAGAATTAACATCTGCTCTCAGAAGAACGGTCCACATTCCAATCTGTTCCAATTTTGGGTAGTTTAATATCTGTTTTTCAATGAGCACTCCCTCTCCCCAACCCCTCTCCCCCCCCCAAAAAAAAAAAATGGACACCCAAGTGCTGACCCCATTTTCTTTTGTATCATGTTGTACCAATATGCATCCTACACACGGCTGGTATGCATGTTCTTCGTAGTGTACTCGTAACTCCTAGCTGGTGTATGCGCTTTGCTTTTGTTTTTTAAATTAACTGAGACCTACATTTTCAAATCTTAAGGAAATCTTTCAGTGGCTTTTGAGCTGCAGTTTTGAAAATGTAAATCTTTTTCTTTGGCCTTGTCTTTTTGTGCCTTTTACAGTTTTTCGCACACACGTTGGAGACGTACGTTTTTAGCCCAGTTTTATCAAAGTCTGGTCACCTGTTGATTTGCCTTTTAATGAACTGTCAATTTAAAGCTGACCCACGTCACCTTACTGACAGTATAGCTGCAGCATGAGATGCTAGTTTGTAAGGATAGAATGCTAGGAGCAGGGAAACTGAGACAGAAAACTGAAGTAAGCAGGCCAGCAAGAAAGTGCATCAGAGAGAAATGCAGGGAAAAGTGCCATGCCATTTGAAATGACAATTACATTGTCATTTTCATTGTGAATACTTTTAGGTTCTATATTGGCTGTGATCTTTGTACTAACTGGTATCATGGAGAATGTGTTGGCATCACAGAAAAGGAGGCTAAGAAAATGGATGTGTACATCTGTAATGATTGTAAACGGGCACAAGAGGGCAGCAGTGAGGAATTGTACTGTATCTGCAGAACACCTTATGATGAGTCGCAGTGAGTTCTGATAAGAGCCTCTTATTTAATGTCTAGGTAGCAAACTGCTCTGACTGTGGTTACCTGTTCTATGCAAAGAAAAAAGAAGTTATTCTGCATATCTTGTATCCATTCGTAATACTAATTGCCTTTCAGTAATTGTCCCCCTCTCCAAAATGTTTCTGTACAGTAAATGTTGAGGAAAAGTGAAGTTTTCAGGGTGGTCAAAATGTGTTGGGATTGTTGGTGGTTTGGGGTTTGTTTTGTTTGTTTATTTTTTTAAAAAAATGGACAAAACACCATGTACTTTAAATTGGGATTTTTTTTCCTTTTTTTTTAACAAGGGATGGTTTGAAAGATTAAAAGACAAATACAGTATTTAGTGGATTTTTTTTGTTGTTCTTTGATCTGGATAGAAAACATAATTTTACTATGGGGGTTATATGGTTGGTGTCTATTACTGTAAGGCTTTGTGTCCTAGAACACCCCCTCTGTTTTCAACTATGAGACTGAAGCTTTCATGTGATAAATGTTGGTGTGAAGTGGAACGAGCCCCAGTTGTAGTCCAGTTTGTGCAAAATGTATCTTGAATTGTTTTGGCATATTGGTTGAGTGAGACTTCTGCATTATACTGTTCCTTTCATTTCTCTAGAGGAGAGAAATGATTTTTTGAAATATTGATTGCTTGAAAGTGCCTAGTATTTAAGAACTGGTTTTGAAATGGTCTGTGAAGTAGCCTGTTTGTAAATCCCAAAGCAGTTCGAATAGTGTAACTAGAATTTGTCAGCCTGAAATACCACGTTACACTGTTGTGTTTAATCATGCCAAGCATCTGCTGGCGTGCAGGGGACTGCAGGTTTATGTGTTTAAATGTGACCTTTAAATGGAGTGGGTCAAGTCACTAACAGATTTTTGGATCTTGCAGGTTTTACATTGGCTGTGACCGGTGTCAGAACTGGTACCACGGGCGCTGCGTCGGCATCCTGCAGAGCGAGGCAGATCTCATCGATGAGTACGTGTGCCCACAGTGCCAGTCCACAGAAGATGCCATGACTGTGCTCAGTCCACTCACGGATAAAGACTATGAAGGTTTAAGAAGAGTACTGCGTTCCTTACAGGTGAGAATGAGGATTGCAGCAAAGTGCAGCACATCTTTACTGGGTAGGACATGCCTAGTGAGTCTTGGAGTAGGTTTTGGTTTCTCTTCCAGTTATTTGAAACTTTTAAAAAAAAGGAAATAGCAAAGCTCTTTTTTTTTTTTGTGAGAAATGCCCCTTTGTCAGCTTCAGACTTTATTGGCATTATTATGCTAATATTTACAGTCATTAGTATATCATGGCCACAGAGTTAGTGAAACTAAGCAGTCTCTTCAATGGAAGCCTTTTAAAGGAAGCAGATTTACTTAAAATACCAAAAGGCAGAGTACTGGTCTAGCTGAACAGGATGTAGAAGATGCAACGTTCAGTTCTCAGATTAGTTTTCTGTGGTTTCTGATCTACACTCCTGTACTTTAACCTCCGAGTTAGGAATTTCAGTAGTGTTCTCACAGTGTCATTACCAGCATGGAGAAGATGACATCCTGATAAAAGGAATTACATCAGTGTCTTGATAGTGTATTTCTGGTTTATCTGTCACTCCTAAATATGCCTTTTCTGCTCTAACTGTAAAGAATTTTCAAGAATATTGATAAAACAGTTGTGTGGTAACACAAATCCTACAAGAGTAATATTTTGCATTGTTCTACACCTTACAGACATTTATGAGAACAAATTAATTTTAGAGTACTTGAAAGTGAAAGCAGGAGCTCATTTCTAGGTGTGGAGTGCCAAACACTCTTAGTAAATTCATCACATGCTTTTCTGTGCAGCCTGTTCAGCATGGGGTCCTGTTTGAGTTTCACTTTGTTCAGCATTTGGAAGACCAACTTCTAGGTCATTGACATTAAGGTTTAAAACTTTCTCTATGGAGTCATCCCATGAGAACTCATTACCTTTTCACCTAACACTGTGCTTCTTTCTTAAGTTCAGCTGCAGGCCCTGACAGATAAAAGCATAATGAAAATGTATAGCTACCAAACAGTGCCAATTTACCTTTTTCTGTATCTTGTTTTCCTGACAGGCTCACAAGATGGCATGGCCGTTCCTAGAACCAGTAGACCCCAATGATGCACCAGATTATTATGGTGTTATTAAAGAACCTATGGGTGAGTGTTTCTGAGCAAGAGTGAGAGGATTTGGCTTTTCAAATATCAAATTAATTACCTGCCAACCATTTCCATCCAAGGATCTGAAAGATAAGTTTTGCAGAATATACAATTTTTACAGTCAGACAAGGTGATTTCTCATTTGTGGATCTAGATGTTCATGAGGCCTAATACATCTGCTTCCAGGCTGACTCCTTAACCCTAAATGCCCTCGGTCTAACATAAAGTGTGAAATTCAGTGCAGCAGTAGAATTCTTGTTTTAAATTATTTCAAGAAGACAGTTCTACTGTGTTGTGCTTTGCTTGTTGTTTTTTTTTTTCTTTTTCTGCATCAGTTCCTCCTACAAAGTGTGGGGTATGTACTCTAGAGTTTGAGGAGGAAGTGGTGCTGGTACAGTTAAGTGAGATGGAGTTTAAAATTACCTTCATCCAACTTGACAGTATACTAAATTTTGTATCCTGTCATTTGTCTTTAAAGGTATATTGAACAAGAATTGAATCAAATGTTGTGTATGTGGGGGAAACTGCAACTTTATCATGTTCTACTCTGATCTTATTTGTCTACTCAGACCTTATTGGTTAGCTGGGAGTAAGTTAGCTGAACACCTGAATGTGAAACCTCCTGGGAGCATCTACCTCCTGCCAGAAGTGGTCTTGCTAAATGTCATTCCTTTCCTTCCAGTTACTGCACCAACACGTTGTCATATGTCTAAATGAGAGCTAGTGTTATTGTTTGAGCTTTCCCACCTGCTTCCTGATTGTAGAAACAGGAGAGTTCAACCAAATATCATAGCAAAATTGTAGTACATTGACTGCAAATAATACTTCACTTGGTAACTGCATCCTTTCTGTTCTGAAGTTTTGGATTGTGCTGTTAGGAAAATGCTAAACAATTCCTATTCCCTGGGGTTGAAGTTTGTGAGGAAAGCTGAAATAATAATATAATGAAGCATATGAAGATAGATTGGTTGAAATGTGTGTTTAGCCCTTTCTTAGCAGGAAAATAGACTTGTCAGTATGCAGGTAAATACCTGTAGAATACACTGGGTAATCATCTAGGTTTGGTTGCACACATTCTGGCATCACTGGCATTTCATAGTAGGCATTTTCCAAGGGCAGATCGTTGTTTTTCCAGCTGAAAGTGCCACTCTCCATTTAGAGAGCTATGTATATAACTGGCAGTGCTTGCTCCTTTCCCTCTTTTTAATTTACATTTGCACTCAAGTGGGATAATTACTCCTTACTCCACTGTTCTGCTTTCATTAATGTGTCTAGTCAGTAAGATGAGGGCACGAGCATTTGGCATAGTCCTGCACTTGGCATCTCCTTCATCTGTGCCACGTGGTGATGTTCATATGCCCATGAAAACTGGTAATTCAAGGCAGTTATGAGTTCAGATTTTTTTAAAATAAGGTTTAGATAGGTGTTACAGGTACACATGTGACTCTTTGTCTCAGTAAGGGCTGTAAAAAAAACAAAATACAAGTAACTGCATCCACATTAACCAACATTTTTTTTTTTCCCCCTTAATTTCTTCAGAAAAAGCAAATAGCTCCCAGCAGAAGAGCCAAGTTTTCCAAGGTCATTTGGTACTTTTAGTTTAGCTGCAGGCAACCTCCTCACGCATAGGTGTTTATTCCAGAGGAGACCTGCTGGTGTCACCACGTCACAGGCAGCGTTCCTGGAAAAGCAGCTGGCCTAGACAGGCATTTTCCCACACTTGTGATGATGTAAACTTATGCTGGGGGTGAAAATTTCTCATATTAATAATCTTTGGTTTCTTTAAAGACCTTGCCACCATGGAAGAAAGAATACTGAAACGTTACTACAAAAAGGTCACGGAGTTTGTGGCAGATATGACCAAAATTTTTGATAACTGTCGTTACTACAATCCAAGTGACTCCCCTTTTTACCAGTGTGCAGAAGTTCTTGAATCATTCTTTGTACAGAAACTAAAAGGATTTAAGGCAAGCAGGTAAGCTAAAATGTTCCTAATCATAGATGTTCTGTTCTTCCCTGAAATCTCCTTCATGCTTTTATGAGCTTACCTTGCATTCCTACAGGGATTTGCTGTGCACTTCTCCATGCACTTTCCTGGATAACTCCTTTTCTTTTAGAGGAAAAAAAATCTGCTCTATAATAGCCAACTGTCATTTTCTGTCAAAATTAAGGCTTAAATACGATTTTGTGGAGATTACTTAGCAACATTTGTTGAAAATGAGTTGTTAGATACAAATTTGGGCAGTATCATAAATGTATGAAATTTGAATCACACTTGATGCAGAAAACTTAATGAGGATAATTTCTGATCAGGACAAATACCATATTCTGAGTTCTGGTAATGTTCTCCTGGGCAGTAAATACTTTTCATGCTAAAAAGAGAGACAAACCTTCCATGAAGCTTATAATTGAATGAAAGAAATAAAAATATGCAGGATTATATCCACTTGTCATTAACTGAATTGAAAGCTCCACTTTGTATCCATTGTTGTGGAAGCTGTCTGATTTTCTGTGTGCAATGCAAATAGGATTGATAAGAAAAGATGAGATCAAATTAATTAGTCGAGCTTTTTTCTTTGCAGCATAATTCTGTGTTAGTGTTTTTTACCAGGTAGTTTTCAGCTCATGTTTGTCACCTTGCTTTAGCTGGTTGTCCAGCATTCACTCTGCTTGCACACTGATTTCATTGCTGCACCATATTTGTTATTGTTTTTCATTTATACCATCCATGTTCTTTCTTTTCTTGCAGATTGTGATAACTTTAGTCTGAACTTTTTAACTGGAATCAGACCTGGATGTTGGGGTCACTTTCTTTTATTGTACAATTCGATGACATTAAACTGCCCTAAAAATCCAGATCATTTCTCTAAAAACTAAATGTTGTTGGGTTTTTATTACCAGCAGTCAGACTGGCAAACATAACTGTATTAACAAAAAAACCCCTGTCCCGTTCCTCAAATACTGTATGGAGAAAAATGAAAAATTCCTCTTGGAAACCATGTATTTCATTGTTTCATTTTCAGTCACTAATAAAACTGTGAATGTCAAAGAGGAGTTTTGCTGAACTCTGATTAGCAAAAATGTGATTTTAACATGCCTGTTCAGTTGGGGTTTTTTTTTCTATTAAGTCAATCCAAAGATTTCTTGAATAAATTTAAACAAAGTATACCTTAAAAAATATTCACAATTAAAAATGTCTTTTTACTTTCCTTTTGATGGACTACTGATATGTAAAGATGAGAGTCAAACTGATTTCAGGCATATTTGGAATACTCCAATGACACACTGCATTCTACAAGTATTGAAATATTTGTATACTGTAGGAGAAAATGCACTAGAAATTCGCAGAGAATTATTTCAAGTGTTCTTTTTTTTGGAGCGGGTGGGGGGAAGAAAATAAATGGAAGCAACATGGTGGTAATTCCCTCGTTGTGATTTACCCTTGGCAACACCTTGCAGCAACTGTGTTCTCCAAAATGAAGGGTGCTTAATTCTTCACTTTCTTCTGCATTCTGCAGGTCCCATAACAACAAACTGCAGTCTACAGCTTCTTAGAGTTCAGCGTGTTAACCTAACACACGAGCAAGAATCTGGTTGTCTGAAAATTTTTAATTAAGAAGCCAGATGTTTTTAGTCAGGTTATCCTGACAAGACTTGATGTAAACTGCGTTTTTATTGGTCACAACAGTCAAATTAAATTCTTGGCTTATTTTGTCCAAAGGACAAAGAAATAAAAATCAGCAGCACCACTTTCTTGTCAAGATCAAATTGTTGTACTATTGTGGCAGAAGCAGGAAAACTTTGTTTTGTTGAAGGAGAAAGAGAGAGAGAGCAAGAAAAAAGATACAGTAAATGGGGTCACGTTTAACTCCATGGAATTGCCACGTCTGTTCTTCAGTGAAGAAGCTGGTTTAAAGTCCACACAGAAAACTTTGACTGTATTTATTTATTGTTGCAAAAAAGACGCTTTTTTATTGCTGCCCTCATTTGTCAGCTAATTATTTTTTCTTATAAAACCCAGCCCTGGTTACATGTAATCCATTCTGTATCCTAACATGATTCCTGTAGGTAAAAGTACAAGAAGACCTCTAGATGTCTTTTCTTTCTATGAAAGGAGCTGCTATGTACACATGTGCACACACACAGAACTGGGAATCAACAATGAGTTTATCATTCATGGTAGATAAAAACAATTAAGCTTGCATAAAAGTTGGGCTAAGTGGTCATGGACTACAGACTCTGTTGCCTTGAATATAACAGTACAATTTGTCATTTACTCTGCACCAGACTCAAATGAGTAAAATCTATTTGAAGGTATCTTGTTTGTACACATTTGTCAGATTCTAATTTTTTTTTTCTTTTGTATTAAAATTCAAAATATGGATGTATATGAAACAAAATAAATGGAGATACTTGTTCTCCCCACAGATGTAGGTGTCTTTGAGTGTGCGCTGACACGTTTGTGACACGCTGGGGATCTGTTCAGGAGTCCAGGGCATCTCGAGTGAGAGGGGAGGCAAGCAGCCAGGGAGATCAGCCTTGATTTTGCTCCAAAGGTAGCGATTACTGCGTCTCACCCTTAAGCAGCTGTTGCCCCTTTACGAAATGTCTACAGTGGTGCCAAATTTACTGTAACAGATAAGGTGGTAGGAAGTATTTTGCGCAGTGTCCCTGCCCACCGCTGAATGAAGTGACGCTTTGCCGACTGCTCTAGGGCTGTGGAGTGTCACGGTGTCTCTGGGAGGTGTTCCTGCACGAGGAGTGCTGCTAGGAGGGAGGAGCTGAAGTGCCAAGAAGACGCCAAGTGCCGCTGGCGTGGCCGTTCCCCCGTCTCTCACGACTTGCCCCTCGGGCCTGTCCGTGGTGACCCAGCCGTGGGGGGTGTGGGGCTCCCCGGCCGCCTGGCCGGCTGTTGCACTAATTCACAGCTCACTTCTCTTCTGCAGTGACCTGCATTTACCTGACTGATGGAGAAAGGTCCTTTTGGGTTCAACCTCACACCTTGCTATGCAAGAACTTCTGTTATTTTTCTTAAAAAGATGTTGCTACTGACCACACTTTCTTACACTTACAGGCTCAGGTGTACAGGTTCTTCTGGGGTAATTTTATCTAATAAAAACCCGTGGTTTTTTGTACATACAAATGTTGTCATTTAACCTACATGTGAAAATTAAAAATAATTGTTCAATGTGCAAACAATAATCCAATTTATGCTTCTTAAAGTTAAAGGAGAGTAGTTGCATTTAGGTTATGTTGTCCTTTGACGTTTAAAAAAAAATGCTGCATATTGTATGCATTGTGTTTTTAATGCAACGAGGGGAAATCTCAACTTTGAACAGCATTTGGACATATCCTGCATCTCATCAGAACTTCAGTATTTCTGTACTATTTATTCATATATAAATATATGACATGATTTAAAACTTTCCTACCTGTAGGCAATAGATTGCTATGTTTTTAACAAATTGTGGCAAACTGAAGAGTACTTTTTTGTACCTGATAGGACACATCATCCTAGACAAATAAAGTAATGTGTTTGACATTGATTTGGTGGCGTTTCTGATGAAACATGTGATGAAGTTATTGTATCTAGGTCTGGGCTTTGCCAGACAAGCTGTAACTGCCAGTGCATCAGGCTGATGAGGGGAATCATCCATCCATACAATTTAATGGTGCTGAGAGCCTTTTTTAGTGATTTCTATCACCATTGAGTAGCTTGAGGGTGCTTTTTTTGATTTATTAGGGGTGACCTTTTACAGTTAAATGGTGTTACTGAAAATACATCACTTGTAATAACATACCCACCTGCCTTTAAAAGCCTTCTAAGATTTGTAAGATTTGTGATCTCTGTTCACTCATCCTCCTCTCTGTATTTTTATAAATTATTGCAACATTTATTTCAAAATGGTCATATATTGTAACGCAGATTTTGATGATGTGAGCTATACCTGCTTGATTTGCTTTGCCTCCTCAAAAGAACTTCGAAGCCATTACCCTTGGTCTAGATTTAGTTCATGCAAAAGTTATTGGGGATTTAAAGTAGAATAAAAAGTTGGGCTTACCCAAAAGCCTGGAGTAAACCCCTGGGGAGGTGGGAAAACAACAACATTCCTGTGCACGGGGATCTCTGTATTGGCTGCAGAATCTGGGGGGACAGGATTCAGGATCTCTGTATTGGCTGCAGAATATGGGGGGTCAGGATTCAGGATCTCTGTGTATTGGCTGCAGAATATGGGGGGTCAGGATTCAGGATCTCTGTATTGGCTGCAGAATCTGGGGGGACAGGATTCACTGTGAGGTATCAAAGTCACCGTGGCAACAGATGCCCAGAGGGCTGGGATCCGGGGGAGCAGGGCGGATGGTGGGTGTCAGGCATTGGCACTTTGCTCAGGCTTCGGGTGTCGTTGGCACTGGTGTACTAGTATTTATCTCTTTGGGGAGACTATCAGAGTGAGATCTGGCCTGGATGTTATTTTTGTGCCCACGCTTTGCCTGGTTTACATTACAATAATGGGAAGGGCACTTAACTGCCGTTCTGGGCGAGTGGGTGTCTGTAGGACTTGCTGGCCAGTCCCTGGACCTCAGTTGAAAATAGAAACAAAGAAACTTGAGATGCACATGTAACCCTTCCTCCTTCCTTCTGTCCCTCCCAGTCCACTCCAGTGCTTTGATTCATTGCCAGGAACAGTCATTCTGCCAAATCAAAACCCCCTCAGAGTCTCTCAGGAAAATTCCATCTATATCTGCTGCGCTCCATGCAAAATCTTTCACATAACAGAAGTGAGATCAGTGTATCATTTAGATATGAGTGAATTTCTGTCTTACAGTAACAGCCTTCTGCGTCCCAAGATCTGTGCTGTTTGTTCTTGGTATTTGGCTCCTATTCCACATCAAGAAATACTTCACACAGTGTGACTTATCTCCTGTCCACTTCCGTAGCTTTTCAGTGACACTGCATGAAGCTGCAGACACGTTACAAGGTAGAATTGTGTCAGAACCACCTTTGCTTCAAAACAGAAAATGCTTAGAGAAGCCACTGCTTCCTGTCCTGTTCACATATATATCACAGTATGTAGGGTTTTATTTTTTTAAGCTACATTTTAAAGGCATTTGATTTGTGAATACTTACTCTTGGAATAGCCAACATTAAGATCCCCTTTGCAGCAGTTTCACAGGTTCTTACATCCCACCACATGAAAGGTACTAAACGATAGTATCTTCCATTCAAAAAGTAACTTTACTGATGTGCAAGTACAAGCGTGGTAGTATTTCTCATGGGAAGACCCTGTTCAGTGCAGTTCTGGGACAGCCCCAAGGTGCTGATGGTGTAGCCAGGCGTGCCCACTGCGCTTGCCATCGCGTGCTTAGTGTGTTCCCTGGCAGGAGCTTGGGCCATTATCTGTAAGACTAATTGGGCATTTGTGTTGTGCAGTTGCTTGATTGGCTTGCAGTGTATTTGTATACTCCAATAATTACCTAGCCATTTTGTAAGCTTCATGTGACTATCCAGCTCTGTTTGAAGAATGATGTATTTTTTAAAACTAGTATGGACGTGTGTGAGGATACCAAAACAACATGAATGATACTTGGGTATGTTGGTTTCTTTTGAACCAAATGCATGTAATACTTCAGGCAGAATTGTGGCCATCCTCTGTAGATAAAGCTGTGGTGCCATCTAACATTTGTTGAAGGTTAGGGGTTTGAAGATGCAGTTACTTCTTGCACACCTAGAACAATGCCTCCAGAGTTTGACTTTACAATTACTATGGGTTACTAAGGATACCTTACAGCAGGGGAGGCAGTCATAGCCTGTGGCTCTGAAACAGCTGGAACAAATTCACGACCAGTTCGCGTTCCCCTGACTTCTGTGCTATGCTTCACAATATATCAGTACCTAGTCAAGACATTCAGTGTTTGCTGAAGCACAAAAGCAAGTGTCCCGTTCAGCCAGGTTTATTCTGGTAGGTGAATGCTGCTGCTGCTGCTGCCTGTGTCCTAGGCAGAGGTTACTGGAGCCTTACCTACATTTAGTGTGAGCCACCTGCACTTTGCGGTTCCTCTTCCTGTTGAATCTCTTCACGTAGCTGCTGCTGCTTCTCAGCAGGCCGTCCCCCGGCCTCAGGCGCCCGCGCAGGAGCTGCAGCAGGTCGGCAGGGATCTGTCGTCTCTTGTGGTAGATCTCACCCATCACAATGTACCTACTGCCTGCAAAAGAAGTGAGACCTCCGTGCTATGCAGAAATCACAGCTTCATCCCTGCGCCCACCCCGAGGGCAACAGCTCAAGTTGTAGCCTGCAGCAATGTGCCCTGCACGTGGGGCTGGGCACAGCAGCACCCTGCGCTTCCCTGGGGCTTGCACGTTGTGTGTGGATGGAAATAATGGTTTACTCTGTGGGGCTGCAATTAGAAACTTGGGGGGAAATACTGGGATTTGATAAACTGCCGTTTAGAACAAAAATGGGACTACTTAAATATGACATCATCTTTAAACTCCTCCTCATATTTTTTTGGCACTCCTGAAAACAGACAATCGTTATGGAACTGGATAAAGTTAGGACAAGACTATGCTGCTACTGGACTTCTAACAGCTCGTTCTCCTCTGACAATTTAGAGAAACTGGGACAGGAAAAAAGCCCTCTGGCTTAACAGTAAATACTTCCTCCCACCCACCCAAATATCACAGCAACCCAGGATAAGCCTATTAAACCAGAGCAGACTAAAATTGCACTGCATGCAGGGGGAATAGTGGAATGGATTTAGCTGGAATTATTTACCAAGTTTAAAGTCTGGACACGGTTTACTGCAGTTTAAAGTATCCACAACTAGAACGTGAACTCGAAAGAAGAAGCCATCAGGAGTGACATACAGGCGACTCATCTTGTATAATCCATCGCCGTCAACCAACAATGTGACCAGGTGGACTCCATCTCTCAGTCTTTCCATGTTATAAACAATTCCATTCACTGCTGCTTCAAAGGAGGGGGGTAAAAAGCAATTATCAGGTTAGGTATCTTGGTGGCAACTCAGGGTATATGTGAAGACTCATTTAAAATGCTGTACAGTAAGCATGAGTGGAAATTCCTTGGCTCAGTACTGGGCAGTCTTGGAAGTATGAGTTGCTTTAAATAATTACATCGGATGAGGTCCTCACCTTAGTTTTTGCTGAGTTACTAACCTTATGTTGTACAGGTCTGAGGTGTTTCTTAGTGAAGTTTATAAAACGTTTCCAAAGGAAGTGATGGGTTTAGTGGTTTTCCATCCCAATATAAAAAAGTAGACCTATTTACCTAACAAAGTAAAAGTTTCAAATGTAAAACTTCACAACGAGGTCCAAAGCTAACCTGCTGATGACACACTTCAGCTTTTGAAAGACAAGGCCCTCGTGCTACCAAGAGGCAAGGGCACCATGTAGGCCATTGTACACTGAGACAATCGCTTCCTGCTGTCCACCCGATTTCTGGTTTTTACAAGTCCTGAGCTGACTGCAGGAATTGGAAAAAAATTAGGCAGGTGAGGCAAAGAGGGCTCTGGGAACCAGCATCACACCTGCCTCGCCGAGCAAGAACTTCGACTCAGTCTAATCTGCACTGTAAATGTAAAAAAGCTAAAAGCTCCCTCCGCTCCCTGCGGTGGAACCTCAGCTCATCTGTTGCTCAGACTATTTCCTACTAGTCTTTTTCACATCAAGAGGTGAATGAGACCCTTAAAGGCTGAAATACACAAAGGTCGGGTCGCTGTAAGGCCTGCGCTTGACAGGAATGCATGAGAGTGCTGAAAAACAAAGAATATAGCATTTGTAGCAAGCACTTCCTGACTTCTCCATTTAGAGAAAACAGATGTCTTGTAATGTGTTTATATTCTACAACTGGAAACATCTGTTGCCACTAGGCGTGTATTTTGCTTATCTCTTAAAATACTGTGAGAACAAGTTGGTATCTATTTCACAACTCTGTAAGCCCAGAGCGAGACTTCAGGCAGCAAATGCTCCTGAACAGTCAGTAGAAACATGCCAAGCTATTTTCTACCAGCTTTAGTTACATCAACTTGGACATAAGGACTAAAGACATTGAACCCTGAGGAACTGGAAAGAAAATCCTCTGCACAGACAGGACCACAGTTTTATTTTTGTTTGGTTCTCTGTTTTATTTTCATTTGAAATTTCAGTACCAAAAATCACAAACTTGCTCTGAATACCAAGAAGTAATGCAGCTACAATGTTTAATCTGAGAGTATCTAAAACAATTGGTCTTTTCAGTTCTGTTGACCAGCAGCAAGAACACCATCTTCCTCACAGGAGTGGAAAGTAGAGGAAAGAGGGAAAAAAAAGAGCAAGAATAGCCCAAGGTAGGGACAAGGTAATGTAAGAATGGGTACCGTTTGTTGTAGCACATTTATGAGAGCTGCAATAGGTCTCCTCAATGTTCTTAGCAATTATTTAACTTGCTCAGTGAAACCATATCTTAAAAGCAGAAGTGCAGTGTTGGTGCCAGAGGAGCAGAGGAGGTCTGTGTGGCTCAGGAGGACACAACTTACCGAATTCACTCGTGCAGTAGGCCTCCACTTCGTCTCTCTCTTCCCTGCACTCGCTCAGACACACCTTCTCCTTATCAGCACCTAGAACAGGCACACAGACTGAGGGACAGCAGCGGGCCCCGTGGGGTGCTTCATCCCAGCTGGGCCCCCCACCCTTTGGAAAGCTGACGCTAGCCCTTGCCAGGGCAGTCTCTGCCCTTACCTTTCTTCTGGGCACTGAGGTGGTGTGGCGAGCGGGCTGGCTGGCGGTTGGTGACCCAGGAGGGTTTGCTGAGCTCTTTGAAGGGATCAGTATGTTTGTAGGGGATCATCTTGCCTGGTCGGTTCAAGTGATCCAGCATGTTAGGATCGTCCAGTGCCACTGCCCCGGCGTCAGGAGGAGGATGAGCGCCCACGGCGGAGCCCTGTGGGTGGGAGGGGGGGCAGTGCTGGAAGTGGGCCGCCACGCTGTTGGCAGCCTCAGC